ATATATATATATATATATATATATATATATATATATATATATTGCAATAATGTCTGTTCTCTGACATCCATTTCATGCTTCTCTAATACGGTGTGTCCTTTTTAACTGTGGACCAAAGGCCAACCTTACAGTTTTTGTAGGGAAAACGAAAATGAGAGAAATGGTAAAGAGAAAGAAGAGACCATTTAATATGAGAATGCAATTTTGTAGAATTTTCACAAAGCCATTGCTATGCCAGTAAAGACTTACAGTTAAATATCCTTTTTGCACTGCAACAGTGCATATGATCTTTCTGGAATTGTACAGAGTTTAAAAGGGGTTTTTTTTCTTATGTACAGAGAACTGTATCATACAGCAGAATCTTCTATTAAATAAATTAGTCTCATACATACATATATATATATATATATACCTATCTATATATATACATGCTTTGGTTTTTGTGAGTGGGCGTGTGTGGGAGGGTATATGTATATACATGTGCACACACACGCACACACACATATATATATCTATAAAATGGCAGCCAGTGCTATTGCAATTTGTCTAATAAAGCTTTAGTAAAAAACAAGTGTATTCTGGAAAGATGTACAGGGCAAAGAGTCTTTTTTGTTTTTAAAAGAAAATATGGGGTGCTTTAATGCTATTCTGATTTACATTGTTGAATTGAACGTATTTTATACTGTTCCTTTTTAATTAGATCATCCAGGGCAATTTAACATGCGTACCTAGATGTGCAAGTCATTAATTTAGATATTTTTTTTGTTGCAATCACTATTCAACAGTGTTTAAGATTATGGTTAATCATGCTTTTACATTAAATTGGAAAATTGGAAAGCACTCATGAGGTAAAAAACACAAGTGTATATCCACAGGGATGCCTGATTTTCAGGTCTCAGGAGCATGAAAAAACTGGTCGTGAAAATTGAATAAGCCTTATTGTAATCAATACTGTCAATATTTGGAAAAGAGATGAGAGTTTACGGAAAGAAGGCTGTTGGGAATGACTGGTGTGGCCTTAAATTACAGTCCTATAGTGCTCCAAGAAAGAGAGAAGGGGGAGAGAGAAAAAATAAGCTTTTGTTTAAATCTTTATTACATATTCAATTATCGATGTATTTTTGATGTGAGTTCCAATTGTATAGAATGAGAAGCTGATGACAGCAACAACAACAACAACAAAAAACAGCGCCCGGTGACATTTTTGAAGCTAACACTCTACTTGTTCAGAACTGTAAAAATGAGCTTCAGTTGTAATCCTTATAAACTAAACTGCGGTTAAGTAGAAAGCAAGCCAACTTATTACGTGTTTTTGTTTGTTTTAATTTGATATGATATTTACGTTAATCTAACTCAGATATGTGGATAGGACTTGATTTTAAGAACCAGCTTAGGTGATCTGCTGTAGGAAAAGAATCAAAGTATATTCTTCAAATCTATTCTGTTTTGATGCCTAATTCTGTTCTGGGAGAACATCTTGTAATGTCATTGTTTTTTGTATGAAATCTGCATAATATTGTCTACTGTGTAAGGCAGAACAATTTTCTTATCATGAGAAAAAGACCATTCTGTTTCCAGGGTACAAGTGTTTAAAAGCATGCACAACTTGTTTCCCCTTGTAACATTCATGAGCATCTACACAACTGATTTATAAAAGAAAAGAGAAAAAGAACAAAAAAAGGGAAAAAATTCTTTACAAGCTATAGGGGTATACCAGATGTTGCGGCGGTTTTAGTGATAATCCAATTATTTTCATGTGTTGTCTATTATACACAAACACATTTTGGAGGCCTCGGTTGCAAGTGGCAGAGCTTTCTGTGTATAATTTGTCTAAATAATTTGTCTAATAAAATGGTTTTTTAAACTTGCCTCTCTGCCTATTTCAACGGTCATGTGAGTAGACAAGCAAGTAAGTAAGTATGAATTCAAGGCATTTGTTGACTTGGGGCCATAACTGCATTCTAACTGCAAAATCATTGCTCAGGTTTCTTATTTCTAGGAAAGGCCTCATAAGCAGAGGTGATATTCAGCAGGTTCTGACCAGTTGTAGAGAACCAGTACTGGAAATTTTGAGTAGTTCAGAGAACTGGCAAATACCATCTCTGACTGGCCCTGCCGCCATCTATTCTCTGCCTCCCGAGTCCCAGCTGATTGGCTGGGTCTTCTTTTGTTGCCCTGCCCAGGAGAACGGAGCTGGAAAGCAGGTTAGTGAGGTGGGGAGGGAATGGGATTTTGCAGTATCCTTCCCCCAGGAGTGAAGAAGGAATGGGGATTTTGCAGTATCCTTCCCCTGCCACGCGACACCCACCAAACCATGCCCACCAAACCGGTAGTTAAAAAATTTGAATCCCACCACTGCTCATATCTTTAGCTTAATACGATTAATATTTATATCATATTTTTCAAAGTCAATGTCCTCTTCTCTCAACTGGTTAGATCAGTGGGTCCCTAACCCACAGGCCATAGCTCTGTACCGGGATGCGGCTTCTTTGGAACCAGGTCGCACAGGCAGAGGGGTGCGAGTGCATGAGTATGCTCAGCCCCACTTGTGTGAATGGTGGATGCACATACTTTGTGCATGAATATCTGTTTGTGCAAGTGAGAGTTGAACACATTCCTGCTGCCCACACAAATGGCACTGCACCCATGAAAACATCTCTCTTGTACACCCTACCACTGCCAGATGCAAAGCCGGAATGATTGCAGTTCACTGGGTTAGATCTTAGAGCAAAATGTGTGGTAAAACAGCTCTGAGAACTACTGATTTGAAGCCTCTGGCATTCATTGAAGTCACTAGAATAGAGAAATAAATCAAATTTACACTGAAATTTCCCAAAACTAGATGGGCTTTACCAGGAAACTCCCCCAAACAAAATGTCCATCAAGCACCATACAGTAATGCTTCACTGTATTTAATATTTAATGGGCTTCTTCCCAGGCGTTAATTGTCCTGACCAAAGCAGCTGACCAAAGACATTCCTATATTTTTAAATTATCAGGTGGGTTACACTTCCAAACTTAATCAGAAAAGAATGATCAGCCTGACAGTGAGCCCAAAAAGTCAAGATGACAGAAATGACCACGTAATCAAATGCACATTTTTTCATGTGATAAACATGTAGCTTCATTTTTGCCATTTTTTAACCTCATTTGGAGATGCCTCTTTATCAATAGTTACTCCTAAAGCCCAATACTTAATTAATCTGTTAATTCCCATTAAGCCATGTTCAGCTTGTATCGACTGCATGAACAAATGTCTGCTATTCTGATCTTAAAGAATAATTTAGCCAGGTTTTTAAGAGGAGACTGGATGGTCACTTATATAAAATGGTATAGGATCTCCTGCTTGAGCAAGGGGCTGGACTAGAAGACCTCCAAGGTCCCTTCAAGCTCTATTCTGACTCTGAGGTCATTCCAGTAACCGGTTTAATCCACAGGAATTTGTTCATGGATAACTTCATAATTTTAGTGGTAGGACTGAACTATTTTCACCAAAAGGATCAGAGGAGAATCTGTTCAAGACTATAAACACTGGAGACAATTGCTGGCATGGACTTATAAATATAGAGAAAAAATAAAATGAAATGAAATAATA